CATATTTATCACGTTTCGGCCGTTGTACGCTCCGGTTGGAATGTGGAACTGAACCCTTTACTTCGCTCACCGGGGTAGACTGTTCTAGTTCCACGTGCCATGTTTGATTGGATGTCACTTACCAGTTTTCTCCTGTTAATTTCCCTCTGAAAGTTCTCCACTGCCTTAGCCGGGTATTGAACTATTAACAACTATTGAATTCACTCTCACTGGATTTAACCAACGCCTTTATCCACTGTGCCATGTGTCCTTGAGGACATCTGGGTATGAATTTCTGGGTATTATAAACCTAATGTCTTCAGCAACCATTTTTACCAGTGCTCATATTGTAATTTTTCTGTTATCATTGCATGTTTTTTACCAGAGCTCATATTGCAACTATGTTGTTATCATTGCTTTTCTCTGGCACTCCTTATTACTGGTTCCCATATTGTATTTATTTCTATGCTTGGTTGGCTCAGGAGATTTTTGTGACCTAGCATATGTGCTGATTCCTTAAGTTTACGAATTTTCCAATGGTGTTCCTTGTCAATGATCTCAACATGATCCCACAGAGGGCAGTGATCTCCCTTCTCTTTCCATATGTGGTCAGCCACGTCCGATTTTTCTACTTCCCCTCGTGTTACAGCTTTTTGGTGTTCTTGAAGTCTTACCTTGAGGGGGCGGCCTGTCTCTCCTTTATATTTCTTTCCACAGCTGCACGGGATAGCGTACACACAGTCTTTAGTCATGTTCTCCTCTATGGGGGGGGGGGTCTTACTCGGGAGAGATATCTGCGAAGTGTCATCCAGCTTTTGAAAGGTTGTCCTGATGTTATATGGACTGCAGATCCTTTGTATTTTCTCTGATAACCCCTTCACATGAGGCAGGCAGACTGTTTTCTGAGTGTTGTTGTCCTCTTCCTCTTGTACCCGCCTATCCTAGATTTGGAGGCTGCTGCCATGTACCCAGGGTAGTTGTTACATTGTAGGGTACTAATTATACTAACCAATTCCTTATCTAACGTCTCTGGATCGCCACTTATGACTTTTGCTCGGTGTTGTAAGCAACGGACGATCCCTTTCTTTACGCTGTATGGATAGGCGGGTACAAGAGGAGGAAGACACGGTATCAATGACACAACCATTTCTTCCTGTCTGCATACTAAATTCGATCAAATTGGTAGCTGATCTCACAATCTACCTACAGTAAGTTGTTAACTGGGGCAAAGAATGGCTTGTTAATTTGAACGCCTCTAAAACTAAACTGTTCTCTATTAATCATCTTAGAGACCATTGTCTGTCTTCCATCAGTATGGCTGATGCTAATCTCTATATTAGTTGATCCTTCTCGGGTTAATATTTTCGGCCGACATAGAGTGGCAAGACTACATTGAATCCATTGCCAGGTCACCTGCTAAGACTGTTGGTTCACAGCTGACTGAGAATCAAGAAGCCGGAAAAGAATTCCACAAGCGAGAAGTGCGATAAAAGAAACTGTTAACATAGAACGTGCGGTTATATCTAGCCATTTCAACTGTAAGATGATGAGACCTTCCTACCTGTTTTCTTTTTTTTGGGGGGGGTATAGCGGTCTTCTTGACAAGTTGACAAGTTATGGTGTCTCCGGACGAATATTTCAATTTTTGGACTGATTCAGTCTTTCGTATCAAACCGTGAAATGAAAGTCATCCTGAACGGCCATTCTTCTAGATCGTTCCTTACTAATTCAAGTGTCCCCCAGGGATCTATCCTTAGTCCTACATTGTTTTTAATTTTCATTAACGCCCTTCCTGATGGCATCAGCTCTCAAACTGGTACGAAGCTGATGACACGACCATTTACTCTTTTCTCGATATTAAGTCTGATTAGTTCGAAAGGTCAAATTGGCAATTGTTAACTGGGGCAAAGAATGGCATGTTAACTTTAACGACTCCAAAACAAAACTCCTCTTTATCAATCATCTGATGGATCCCTTCGATCAGCATGGCTGATGCTAACCTCCAGTGACTCGTTGCGCCTTCTTGGGTTAACATTTTCGGCTGACATGAAATGGACAGACTATATTGAATCCATTCCTAGGTTCACTGCTAAGAAAGTTGGTTCACTGTGTCGTGCTAAACAATTTTTCTCTCCAGAATCTATCTTACATTTCTATAAGTCAATATCTATTCGCCCAAGCTTAGAATGCTGCTGCCACACATGGTCCTGCGTTTCTGGTATATATCTAGAGATCATACTTATTATAAAACCCAGGTTGTGTGTGTGTGTGTGTGTGTGTGTGTGTGTGTGTGTGTGTGTGTGTATATATTGGTTTATATATTGGATTTTCCTACATTTTTCAACCGATTTCAACAAAACTTCACATGACTGCGTAAAATTACCTTCCGGTGGTGGTTCTGACAGCGCCAAAAATTGGAAAAACACAATTGTTTTTGCACGAAATCAATTTGGAAACACGATTAAGAGGCATTAATGAAAGGGGGACAACTCACTTCGAGTTATACTTATTATAAAACCCAGGTTTTGTGTGTGTGTGTGTGTGTGTGTGTGTGTGTGTGTGTGTTCGTTTATATATAGGATCGGATTTCCTACAAATTTTCAACCGATTTCAATAAAACTTCACTTTTTTTTGGCTTGTAGTGTTTCTTATTTTTTGCACACTTTTTTCTTTATTTTTACATTCAGAATGCTTTAAAAATTCCATTTACAAGACTATTACGTGATATCTGTCCTCTTGTATGGCAGCCAATACTAGACAATCTCCTCAAACATGAAGAAGAGACTTGAAGCAACAGAAAGAAAAAAAGTACTGGACTATTACGTGATATCTGTTCTCTTGTATGGCAGCCAATACTGGACAATCTCCTCAAACATGAAGAAGAGACTTGAAGCAACAGAAAGAAAAAAAGTACTGGACTATTACGTGATATCTGTTCTCTTGTATGGCAGCCAATACTGGACAATCTCCTCAAACATGAAGAAGAGACTTGGCTGCCATACAAGAGAACAGATATCACGTAATAGTCCAGTACTTTTTTTCTTTCTGTTGCTTCAATACTGGACAATCTCCTCAAACATGAAGAAGAGATTTGAAGCAACAGAAACAAAAAAAAGTACTGAAATATTACGTGATATCTGTCCTCTATGGCAGTGAATGCTCGACAATCTCCTCAAAGATGAAGGAGAGACTTGAGACAACAGAAATATATCTCTACAGAAGGATGCTGAGGGTGCTTGGAAAATCTGATACTCACAGGGTAGATTCAGCGCAAGAGGGACAGAGGAAAACAGCGCATAATGATGAGCTTAAATAAATGCACAGTAGAAGAGGTTTAGGAGAAATAACGAAGAGAAAAAAATTATTAACAGCTACAAAGAACAGGAAGTTGTGGAGAGGCATAATCGACTACGTCCTGAGGGGATTCGACACGTAGACGATATATTCAGGCCGGTAGATGAAAATAAATAAATATACTGTTTAATGAATAAACGGAACGTCTACTCAAATATGAGTAACCACTAAAATTAACGTCTACGTAATAAAAAATATTTACTACAAGAAGTCTGTCAAAAATGACTGTTTTTCTTTGAGAATCATTCAGTCATTTTTTGTTCATCCTGGCCACGAAAGAGAAATCAAATGACATGCACTGATCACACTAAAAACATTTTAATAATTATTTTTATTATTATAACTTAAAGAAAAACAGATCAAAGTTTTATTAGATCTGAATATACAGACCTAACTGCTGACAAATTAGCTCATTATATGCACGAACAGACACTTTTTGAATATCCTTCATTTTCAGTAGGAGTAGACAGGTTCGCCTATCGCCCGGTTCACACTCCCCCCCAATCTTTTGAACAGGAGTAGAAGTTTATCCCTTGTTTCCTGTTCGTACTAAAATCTACCACATCTCTATGCTTCTAACGTCTCCGCCTAAACCCTGAAATTTTATTTACTATTTATTCATTTTTCCATCAATATGAGTAGATTGGTTCGCCTATCGTCCGGTTCACACTCCTCCCCAATCTTTTGAACAGGAGTAGATGAATATCCCTTATTTGCTGTTTAGTGTTGGTTTCTGGTTCCTTCTAAAATATTCTCATTCTTTTTCACACCAAGTAGTCACTTGTGTCTTAGTGGCATTATCGCCTTACTTGGGGGATGGAATTGACATTTTTTATATTACTCAATGACCATGAATAAATGACGGCTTCTTTATTTGTATTTTACGTCTTATCAACCTTTTACATGTTATTTAAAGCCGGAAAATATTTTTAGATTGTAAGATTTCTTTGAGGAGATAATAATGATTTTTAGTCATATAAATCTTACTAATTAACCCATACATTAAGGGAGAAGTAGATTCATAACTCCCCCAAGGTTATTTGCACGTAAGTGAATATAACGAACCCAACTCGAATTGGAATTCAGTTTATCAATTAACAATTTACAGCCATTATTCATTACACCACTCACACATTTTAAGATTTTTTGGTGATAATAATGATTTTACTAATACAAGTCCTGCTAATTAACCCATATCTGGGGGGATAAGAGGAAGATTCATTTGCGTCTAAGTGAATATAATGAACCCGACTGGAATTGGAATACAATTCTCCGACATCTAATTATGTACCGTTATCCATTACATGCACATTCAAGTTTACCGCACCTGGTATTCTCAAACAGTCACCCACCTAGATACTGACCAGGCTCGACGTTGCTTAACTTCGGTGATCGTACGCCATACCACGTTGAAACACTTAGGTACTGATCAGACCACTTAAGTACTGATCGGGCTCGACGTTGCTTAACTTCGACAATCTTACGACAACCGGTGTATCAACGTGATGGGTTCGTAAGCCTTACCACCGAGTATATAGCATTTGGTATTTCCAAACGGTCACCCACCTAGATAGACCAGGCTCGACGTTGGTTAACTTCGCTGATCGTACGAGAACCGGTGTTTCAACATGATGGGTCCGTAAGCTTTACCACCCGCACATCCAAAC